AGAGTTAATCATCAATACGCCTTAATCTGCCTCAGACTCCATTTAGACGCCGTAAACACAGAGCCAGCAGCTTGATTACTCGTGTGAGCGTCCACTCATCAGCATCTAGTTTTAGTGCTATCTGCAGATTAGAGCCCATCTGCCTCCGCTCAGGTCGGTCACATGTGGGGGGGCAGCGGCGGAGCGGGAGGCCGACAAACCGAAGGCACAGCCCCAGCCGAGCGCGCATCAAATCCACCAGCATGGAGCTCTGGACGCACACTAAACAGGATGAATTTAGGAGGATATTCCTAAGAACTGCAGAGGGCACCTGGCAAATGTCAGAGTTGTTGTTTGGTTGTTTAAAAAGGATATGATCATGATCATTTCCCTCACTTTTCTTCAACAATAGAAAAAAATCCAACTAAGCTTTGGTAGTGTTGTATTATTCATTTAAAAAATAATAATTCTAATACTACTTAACAAGCCAAACTCTGTCATCCTTCATTAAAGGATCAAAATATCAAAATGTTCTAGTTTTAATTAGACGAAAACGCACAATATTAATACAGCATTAATATTACAGCAGTTCTTTTTTCCTCGATTGATCTTTTTGGGGAAAAAAACTTGAATATTTCCTTTACATTTAAGACTGTAAAACATGCTGAGAGCTGCTAAAGAAATAACGTTTCCACTGATTAAGAGTTTTAAAAGAGGCTGAGCATCAGATCTCTTTTGCCACACAGAAAAATTTGAAATTCGGACGGGTTGTTTGTGCTGTCTGATTCTCCCGCGTGTAAAAGCTTGAGGGCAGATATGAAGTCCAAAGGCTGCAGAGTCACGTGGGCTCACAGTTCACCCAGGGAGCATCAAGGCAGGAGCAGACCCACAGAAATGAGCTGACCAGAAAGAGGATTACCCTTCAGGCCGAGGATGACAACATGTATTATTTTGTGGTCCTGGAGGGGAAGCGCCTATTATCATTTAATTTATTCTACCCCCTCCTATTCTATACATTTACCTTTAATTTTTACAGACAAGCTGCATCCGTGTTCCTGCCCCCGCCCCCCACCCCCACTCCGCCCTGCAGCGCTTGCAGTGACACAGAACGACCAGCAGGTGTCAGTATTGAGCCGGAAATACTGATCAAAGCTCACATTTAAACACAGCAAGCAGGGGGAAAAATCAGCCTTTTCCCTTTAACCCTTTGTGGTGTGCAATATGACTATGATTTTTACAAAAATAGTTTTGTTACCAGGTACAGATGCTGCAGGATGATCTCAGTTGAGTTTAAAATGCAAGGGGGAGGGGGGGTCATGTGACAAAATGGGGATGGTGAAATCTATGTTAAAATGACATATATGAGCATAAAATAGCCGGAATCAGACGGCTGACAAACGCTAAGTCCTCCCCTGTGTCCTCACAGTAAATCCTGAGCCGGCGAAAGTGGAAGTCTGCCATGAAGCTTTTACCCCGCAGCTATTCTGCTCGGCCACTGCTTCGCTTTTCTGAATGCAGCGTGATGGAGGCAAGAATAGAAAGTCCTCCCTCAGCCAGAAATCTCTGCACCAGCTGGTTATCGTGGCATTTTGTTCTCTGTTTTTTTTTTCCCTTTTTTTTTTTTTAGATAAAAAAGGCCTCTTTTTTCATTGTTAAAGTGTCTCCTCTGTGGAAAAAGCGATGGCTGAGCATTCATCCGGTAAAAATAAGACGTGATGTGTGACAGCATCTGTGGGACACTTCAGAGCTCTGGGCTTTGTGCCACTGCTTGTAAATACTTCTCTGGTCCGATCATTGGCTAATAATTCAACTCATTGCTCCTTTTTTTTTGGTCAGAAAATGAAAACAAAGCAAAAAGCACTTCTGCCACGGGGGCCTTTGAGCTTGTGAAGCTTTTTTTTCTTCCTACAAACCTAGAAATGTCAGTCAGAGCAGCAGAACTGACGGTGATTGGCCGCTCGCCCGCTGCTGTGCGCTGACAGTCATTTTAGCATGCCTTCCACCACAATAACACAACCGAATCCTCCACGGGCTCGGAGAACTCAGGCTGACGCAGCGTGACAGGCAGCGGGGGGGGGGGGGTTTGAGGTCGAAACTCCCCCGTGTTCCCCCACAACATCCAGCTGAAAACACTGTACTCACTGAGTGGATGTGTAAACTTTGTGAATGTGGGTGCTTTTAGAATTTAAACTCAGGCTGAGCTCTGGGATAAAAAAATCTTTCTATTTGGCTCCTTGTCTTGTTGCTTTTCTAATTTTGAGTCCTTAGAGGAGAAAAGCAAAGCGGCAGCATGTGACTTAGTTGTTTTAATCAATATGTGATCTGAATGCAACTAATTCATCTTAAAATAAAGGTCTTTATTTTAAAATTCCTTTAGATAATTTTCATCTAAAATCTCGAACTTCAAAAGGAGAAAATACTTTCTCTTCCCTCTTTGGTTTGTTTGTTTGTTTTTACTTACTCAAACTGGACAGCTACACATTTGGCAACAAATCCAGCTGATTAAAACTGATATATTAGGGGGAATAAAATGGTCAAATTGCTGGTGATCACACTGAAGCCAAATGTTTCACTCAGCAGTTAGAAGAGGCATAAAAATGACTGAATCTTCACTTTATTGTGATTATTGTAATGATCCGATTCCTGTTTGCAATCCATAAAATAAATGGTTTGGGTTTAGGAATGAGTACGACTGCACTTTTTTTTCAAAATATCAAGCAAAATATTTATAAATGTATGGTAACATGAGTTTCACATCCAGTAATCAAGCAGGGTTTATCATTTAGCCACCAAAGGTGCTGTTTTTATCCATCGGTGCATCATGTGGAACTCCAGTTCCATCAGAGGAAGCATTGCCCGTTCTCTGGCAGCTGGTTGGGGCTGATCCTGAATAAGTCTGTCCAAAGCCTCGTCCTAATAACAGCCATTTTGGGCAAAGAGTTGGAACCGATCCAAGAACATGGCTCCCGCTGCTGCGGGGTAAACAGCCGCCAAATGCAGCCTCGTCTGGCTTCATTTCCTGTCCGAGAGCGGGGAGACATTTGGAGTAAGCATCCGCCGATTCTCTCTCTGCGTCTATTAATTGGCCTGAGATTATGTGCAGCCCTCCTTCTGCCTGTCAACCTCTCTCTCTTCATCTTTCTTTGCCTGTTAATTGATCTAAGTTCAAACAGAAAACGATGCTATAGGGGGAAAAGATTTTAATTTCTCTATTTGACATGACATAAATACTAAATAACATTTGGATTTAGTGCCTCCTTCTTTTCTATTCATTCTGCCGTCAAGTAAAAAGAAATCAAAATTGCTCATTTGAAATGTGCCTTGGAACTGCCTGAGGAGTTTATCCTTCATTATTGATGAGGGAGTGACGTATCACAGCTTTGAAAACATTAAAAGCCTTTCCTACTTTTTTTCCCAAACCCATCCTGTCCTCCTCCCTGGCAGTTTGTTCCGATGTCCACCGGCAACATCGGGAAAAATCATCTGTCGTGGGCAGAGACGCCCACAGCGGCAGAAAATATACAGGCTGAGGTTCGAGAGTCAGGTGAGCAACTCTTCCTCCTGACTAATCTCTTGTTGGATCTGAGCACGCTCGCCCGATTCACCTACACAACATGGGCAGAACGAGCTCCCAGCCGCTCTCCTTTTGGGGAGGACACTGAGCAGGACCAGGCAAAGTATGGTTTCGGGACCAAAGTGACCTCCTTGAACACAGTTCTTTATTTCTGCTCTTGCCAGAAGTTCCTCTGATCTTTAAAAGAGGTGTTGAGCAATAGCTCTGCGGGTTTTCAGAACGCCGCCGGGCATTAGTTGTTTTTTAACATCTTTTCAGTGAATCATTGTTTATCATGCCTGACCGTTTAAATGTTTGTGTCTTTTTTAAGCCACTGTAAACCGACCGATACGTCATTCCAGCTTCAAATCCACATCTTAATTAAAGTTCAGGTTTGGTGAGTTTTGTCTTTTGGCCCTTTGTTACCAGTAGCCGGTCCCAAAAACACAAAATTTGTTCCTAATTCTTTAGTTGATGTGTGAAAAATGCTAAAGGTAACACAGTTTGACAGACAGAAAACAGAAATTTGATCATTCCCAAACAGCTGTTAACTGGAAACAGGGAAGAAAGGATGAGCTCTGCCAAAGGACACAAGAAGTGGACTGAACACCAGTGGCAGCAGCTTTCTCCTCCCCAGAAATGGATGGATGGATGGATGGATGGATGGATGGATGGATGGATGGATGGATGGATGGATGGATGGATGGATGGATGGATGGATGGATGGATGGATGGATGGATGGATGGA